GTCCTCAGCTGCTTGCTCACTCCATGTCTTCATCTCTGATGTCACTGTTTCTCTGCAGAGGGTCCCACATTCCACTCGTGCTGTTTTCCCTTGATGGTCCTAGGGTTCTCTGTTTCTGGACTGTAATATTAACTACTCCCCCCTTTTTGTTACAGAACTTCTACCTTTACAGTTGTGACAGTCACAATTAGTCATGATAACAATTACTCACTACTGAATCATAAGAATCTTATCCCCATCTCTTTCATCAACCCCCTCTAGACAAGACGAAAACTATTCAGTGGGGATTCTACCTTTCCCCACACACTCTTAAACTAAACTCCCTCTTGAAAAGTTGTAGGCCAGTCATTTTGTGCCTTTATCACCCACTCATTTTACGTAGCCAATATCTAAGTTGCTCATCCCTATCTACCCTGTGTACAGAGGGGATATGATTGATACTTGATGTGAAGACTCCTTCCCTCTCAGCTGGTATTTAAGCTACTACATCCGTAAGTATAGGTCAAGTTCATCAAACTGTAGCAATTTATACTTGTTTCCTTTATCAAAAACTGTTTTTTTTTATCTTCCTATAGTCGAGTTCTGATCATCAAAGCCATTGAGGCTAGGTCAAATGGGTACTATCTGTAAGTTTGGGCATTCTTGTGTCTCCCCTCACTTCATATCAGCTGGATGCTTCACACTCAGCTCTAGCCCTCTGTGGCTATGTCCTTATGGGCTCAGGAGTTCCCAGGTCTCACTACACTTCAGACCAACCAGTCCTTCCTTTTCTCTTATCTCCAGGTCAATGGGAGTCTGTGTAATGTGGTTGAACTCAGTCCATTTCTTCATTGCTGCCTTTCCCCCTCTTCCACTCACCAGTAGAGCAACGTGGTCACCAGCAAGCTTATATGCCTGCTCATGTGTTCCCTTTGAGTTTGTCTTGGAAGGGAGTTTGTTCAAGACATATCTTGAAATGTTCTTTCTTATAATGAATGTGATGCCATTCCCTTTCAACTTGTCACTCCCAGCAGAATTCTCCTTGTGATTGTCAGATTCAAAATGGCCAATACCAGCCCATTTCAGCTCATTAATGAAGAGGATATTGATCTTTATATAGTCCATTTAATTTCTCACAACTTGTAATTTTCCTAGATTGATACTCCATACATTCCATGTTCTGATTATTAATGGATGTTTACAGCTGTTCCTTCTCATTTTGAGTTGTGAACCATCAGCAATGACTGTCCCGAAAGCTTTACCCCATTCACATCTTCATGGTCAATTCTACTCTAAGGAGGCCGCTCTTTCCTAGCTGTGCCTTCCAGCCTGAGGGGGTTCACCTTCCTGCAGTATGTCTGACAGTATTCTGATGCTCTTCATCATGCTTCAGTATTCTGGTGCTGACAGTGTTCCACTGCTATTCATAAGGTTTTCAGTGACTAAATATTCAGAAGTAGTCCGCCTCTCTGTCTTCCTGGTCTGTCTTTGTCTGGAAGCTCATCTGAAACCTGTCTACCGTGGGTGACCTTGCTGGTATTTAAAATACCGGCGGCATAATTTCCGTCATCACAGCAACATGCAAGCCACCACAGTATTAACAAACTGACAGACAACGGGTAGCAGAGCCTTTGGGTGGGTTCAAACCGCTAACCACTTAGTTAGCAACTGAGCACATAACCATTTTATCACCAGGGCTCCTTCTAGTTTAAAATAGCCTATCATCTTTAACATCTCATGTTAGGATCTACATACAACATAAATACTGTACTGGACCAGCATGAAATAAACAATGTGTACATTTCCTTTTCTCGATGGTTTCACAACAGAGGATACCAAGATAACTTGTTTGAAAACCTCACCTTAGTAAATACAGTTAAATTCAATCTACCTTCCAAGATTACATGATTAAGGGATACCCTTGGAATTTATGTCATGATGTAATCTGGCAGTTAAATAATGATGCAGCCATCCCCATTCTGTGATCTGATTTGGTCATCCTCCATTTTCAACATAATGCTGATTTTCGTGTAACAACCCAGGCTTTGGAAACTAACCATGTTGATAAGCAAGCAGTGTGTGTGTGCAAACAAGTGCAAATCTTAAAGTATTGCTATTTAGGGTTCCAGTTCATACATGTAAAGGTTTAAACAGAATGGGCTGGAAAAAAATCTCTGCAATCAGTGATGCATGCAGACAAGTTCTCTCAGTCATAAGAGGCGGCTTCCAAAAAAAAAAAAGAAAAGAAAAAGATGATGGAATTTTTCCATGAACTTTTTGAAGCCCCCTTATACATTTGTTTTAGTCTCATTGTTGCTAAGTATGTTGAGTCGATTCTGACTCATAGTGACCCTGTGTAGGGTTTCCCAGGGGCAGCTGGTGGTTTTAAACTGCTGACCTTGCGGTTTGCAGTCTAGTGCTGATGCTACAATGCCATACCAGAAGTCCTTAGTCTTGTTAGGGTTTTGTTGTTGTTGTTGTTGTTGTTGAGTGCCGTCGAGTCAGTTCTGACCTATAGCAACCCTGAATAGGGTTTCCAATGAGAGGATAGTGAGTTGGAACCACCAACCTGTGGTTCAAACCGAACTTGTGGTCCAGCGCATTATCCCACAGTGCGATACCATACATTAAAAAAAGAGAAAAGGATACTTTGTGTGCTATTGTGAGGTGGGATGGGGGTGGGGACGATTTTGGGGACAGGCTAATATCAAATTTTTAACAAAACTAAAGTGGACATCTTCCTAAGTCATGGAAGCTTTTCTACAAGTTTATGGGAGTACTGCCCTACATAAAACAACAGTTTTTAGATGGATCAAGTATTTTAAGGAAGGTCAGGAAGACCTAAAAGATGAGTCAGGAGAGTGAATCGAAATCATCGTTGTCAACAAACGTGAAATTGTGGCTAAAGTCTGGAAACTGATGGAAAAAGACTTTAGAAAAACCATCGATGCAGTAGCTGCTAAAGCTGGGCTCTCCTATGGTTCAACATTTTCAATTTTAAGTCAACATTTTGGCCTCAGCATGCTTTCCGCTTCAATGAGAGCCAAAAGCGATACATGAAGATCATTTAGTTCAAAGAGCTGATCTTTCCATTAGTCTTTTAAATAAGATCGAAGCTAATGAAGACAATTTTATGGGATGAATTGTAAAAGGGTCTAGTGTTGGATTTGTAAGTATGATCCAGAGAACAAGGTCCAATCAAAACAGTGACTCTTGAGGTGACCTGGAGTTCAAGTCAAATCAGAGAGCAACCCAGATGATTATGGTAACTGGTTTTGGGATTCCAAAGGAGCAATCTTGATTGATTTTCTCAAAGGACACAGGATGATGCAGGAGCTTATTAGGAAGAGGTTTTAAGAAAATTGACAACTGCACGGGTGCCGTGGTAGCATAGAGGTTATGAGTCAGGCTGCCAACCTTCAGATTAGCAGTTCGAAACTAACAGCGGGAGAAAATGAGGTGATCTGTTACCGTAAAGATTTACAGCCTCGGAAACCCTGTGCAGGGTTACTATGAGTTGGAACCGACTCCACGGCACTTAACAACAACAACGAGCACTGGTGAGAAAAAGGCCAGGAATATTGCAATAAAGATTTATTTTCCGTCATGACAATGTACCTGCTCATTCTTCAAGGGTTGCAAAGGCTGCACTAGGAGAGCTTTGTTGGGAAACTACCACATCCAAGGTGTGTAGTGGTTACAAGTTGGGCTTGTACAGTTCGAAACTACCAGTTGTTCCATGGGAGAAAGATGAGGCTTTCTGCTCCCGTAAAGATTTACAGCCTTGAAAACCCCATACAGGGTCACTATGAGTTGAAACCCACTCCACAGCACATAACCACCAACCACCATCCCATCCGAGCTACAGCTCTAATCTTTCCTCTAAATTCTTCTTTTTTGTTTCCAAAATTCAAAGAACACGATTTGAGTCCCAAGAGGAGACTACAACTGCCATTTTGATGTGTGGATAATTGAAGAGCACAGAATTCTTTGGGGAAGGGTTAGAGATGGAAACACTGCCTTTATCGGTGCATAGACCTATATGAAGGATATGCTGAGAAACAGTATCCCCACATTTGGATATTTTTTGTTTAATAAAGGTTTCTTTGATTCTGTAGCAATACTTTTTGATGTGCCCTTGTATGTATGTGTAAGACACTGATAAGCCAATCTATTATAAGAAGGAATGCAAAGCACTTAACCAAATATAAATGATTAAATACAAATAAAATATAAAAGCTCAAAATCTACCTTGAGATTAAAAATCACTTTTAGAAAGAGCATTTCTTAAGCAGCCAACTCTAAGGAATTTATTTTTCCTTCACAAAAAATTAGAAGGAGAAAGCTGGAAACATCAGCAAAGTGTGAGAAAAATATTAGAAAGGAAATAGCATGCAGGTAAGTTTATTATTTAACAAGATGACCAAGATCACTTTACCTTTTTGGTAACTTGAAAGGCCTGGATGGTCTGTAAATAAAAAATAAAAAAAGCAAAGGAAAAAGAATAAAAAACAAAGTACCAAAACATGTACAACGGCTTTAGATATGTGTTTAACATTTTTTCTTATCTCTCCATGGAAGAATCACAGAAGTTTTAAAAAAGAAAATCTCTTGGAGAGTTTTCTTTAACACACTTGGTTTAGCAATGACTGCTGGCCATCTTGTAGACCAGGTAGATGAGGAGAGTGTGGCTAGTCAGGAAGCAGCATCTTCCCAGACTTGGTATCATACTCTCCTTATGTTATCACAACCGTACTGTGCAACATTCTCTGAGTTCTATAGCTACAAAATTCATTCACCAGTCTCACAATAGAAATCCACACACCTAAATCTCTAATCTCAGCTGCTTCTGTACTTATCAAGTATTCTTCAACATATTTTATTTTAAATAGGACACCAGGACCTTCTTGTATAAGGAATAGTCCATTTCCTCTTCAGGATAGCAGTTGTTCTTCCGCCTTTCCATTTTTAACATCGCAATCAGTTTCAACATCTATTGGTTAATAAATCCAAGCACCTCTTCCCCATGCCGTGTACAGTCTAGAACTCTTTTCACATGAAAGATGTAACATGTGCTAAAACCACACTTTATTTACATGTCTTCATTAGGGATTTAAGTCAGTTAAAACATCAAAATCCAGGAGGTAGAACATCCTCACAGACTGCAAGGACCAGAAAGAATCTTGAAGCATGTATTCCGTTCCAGGCCCCAATCTGGAGTTGGGCCTCAGTTGTCTTTGGGCAAGGAGGATGTTTGCAGCAGAGTCTCTGGATGCCTAATGTCTGCTGCTCTCTGTCCTGTGTATGTGTCTATGTTTAAAACCAAGGAGGAAAACTCAGGGATAATCACCAAGTAATAACCTTTCATACAAGAATTATATTTTCTTTGTGGAGATGTGGAATAGAGTTTCCAGTAAGACCAACATAGGAGAACTCCTTCATTTAAGAGCAAGTATGAGACCGAACAAGGAGGCCTGGTGGTGGTATAGCACTGGACTGTTAACCATGAAGCCAGCAGTTCAAACACACAAGATACTCCAAAGGAGAAAGATGAGGATTTCTGCTCCTGGAAAGGTTTACAGTCTCAGAAATCCTATACAAGGTCACAGTGAGTCAGAATCACTCGATGGCAGTTGGTTTGGTTTTTGGTTTATGAAACCAAACATTCACGGCATTAACTAAGAACACCAAAAAAAATATGCATTTAAAAATCTATGGTAAAGATCATTTATTTTGAGGACCCCCTCCCCCAAAGAAGACCAAAAGACATAAAAGACACAAAACAAGATCCATATCTTTTTTTCCCATATGCCTGTAGTCTCATAAAATGTATGGTTCTTTGTGGATGTCAGAATTATGTTTTTTAGATTAATGAATTAGGATCTTTTATGACTTTATCAGTCTCAACAGCTTTGATGAATTCAGTAGCCAAGGGATAAAAAAAGAAGCTAGGAACAGAAATATCAACATAGGTAAGTTTAGCTTTTTGTTCTTTTCTGTTCCCTCTGCCTCTCTCTGTGTCTTTCATTAAAAATATTCACTACTGAAGCAGCATGAAGTACACTTAGTATTTTTGGTAACATCTACTGTAAAATATAATGTTTTCAAATACAATGATATATTGATTTTTCAATGACCAGTTTTAGAGCTCTAACTCATCCACTATACAATTCATCTACCTAAAATATACATTTCAATGGTTTTCAGAACATACACAGAGTTGTACAGCCATTACCACAATCATTTAGATTGATTTTTAAAGAATGTGCTGTACTTTTTTAATAAGCTATGAGAGGAAACTTATTTTCTGAGAGGGAATAAGAAACTGAACAGGGAAGCAAAGTACTTAACTTGTGCACAAAAGCATCATTTTTCACTCCCAGCTTTCCTGTTGTACAGTCTTAAAAGTACTTCTTGAATTTCCATGAAAAGTTAATAGATTTTGTTATCTTCAGGCCTAAAATGTTCCCTAGAGCCACAATTCTGGAAAAGACCATATTATGCAGTTACAAAGCAGCGATATTTTATTATGTATATTTTGGGTGATAACAAATGGAAATACTTTCATTCCTCCTACACAGCCCCACTAACTTTCTTTTAACTGCAAAATCTATGGATCACTAACTAGTTTACTCCCTAGAGACAGAAACAACTATAGGATTCATCACATTCTTTCCACTTGAGTAAGGGTTTCATTTTATGTTCAATTTGAGACAATAAGTAGAGATTGTAGACACTAGTTGAAAAAGAAAAATTGGGGTTACCACAAGATACCTCTTGGGAAAACATTTGATCCCTTTGAAGTGTCTATACTAACAGACATGACAAACAGATGTCTGAAACACTCAAACCACAACTACAGGTAACACATGAAAACTGTTTGGTTTACATGGTGCTGCAGAATCTTCCATTCTGCCTTTACAATCTCTTACCAGAAACTATGTGAGTAAAGAGGCAAACGAAGGAATCCATTCTACATGTTCATAGATCAAATGTAGTCTTCCTCCATTTATAAAAATCCTTTAGACTTGCTACTTTCAACATCTATCTAAAAATAAAGATGATTTTTCACCTCAATTTCCAAACAAATTAAGCATGGCTCTGCTAACTGCAAGGCTGTTGGTTCAAACCCACCAACCACTCCTCAGAGTTGCAATACAGATTAGCTATAAATTGGAACTGGCTTGACGGTACTTAACCATCACAATAAAAATATTTTTTAAAAACCCCAAACCCTGACCTCTATAACAAGGTGCCCTGGTGGCGCAGTGGTTAAGTGTGCCAAAACGACCTAAAGATTGGTGATGGTTTGAACTCACAAGAGCTGTAAACTAGACAACTGGACAGAGCAGTTCTACTCTGCTACGTGGGGCTGCTATGAGTTCAAATTCACTTGATGCCAGCTAAAAACAACCACCTCTATTCTATTACAGAGAGAACCTATCTTTTTTAGGGTTCATTCACTCTTCATTACCACATGTTTAAAGCAAAAATAAATAAAATAATCTTAGGTGGGGACTCTGGTGGGTGTTTTAATGAGGGTTTTGGTAATAAATGTTCTGACACTTCAGAAGTGTTCTGGTAGTTGAGAAGCTTGGCTCCAGGCTTCTGCTGACAAGTGAACTGTGGTGTGTATGCTCAGATCCCGTTAGGGCACAGCTAAGAGGACTGTAAAGTTCTCAGAAGGAGGAAGGGTAAGAGGTACTGAGCAGGGTCATCAAGACAATGGGGGCTTAGCAGATACAGAGACAGAGTAACATTTTAAAGGTAATAGAAGGGGAGGGGGGGAGGCAAAGAATGGGAGGGAACATTTTTCACACACACACAAAAACAGAAAAATATGTTGCAAAGCTACAAATGGTCTCCATGTGTGTTAAGTCTCTGTTTTCCTCATCTTTTCCCTCTCCTATACTAATGTTTGGGGAGAGAGGGGGAGATTTTAGGATGAGGGAAATGGGAATGCTAAAGCATGAAAACCTACCATCACTCCAGAGAGCTCTATTCAGCACACAGCTGCAGGATTAATATCACCAGTTACAAAGGACAGTATCGGATTTCACAAAATTCTAATAGCTCTTTCTTGTATTCAGAAAAATCAAAGCAGTGGGAAAAATACCTTTGTGTATTTCTGAACAACTAAACTGCTGTGTAGGAGAGATGCTTTCAGCTTTACAGGTAGTAGGCAAATTTAAGCAAGAAAGTGCTTAAAGCAGCACAAGGTAATCCCAATATTGGGTTGCATTGAATTGGACCATATTATTACCTTTTGGTAAAAGGGTATTCTGAAAGCAATACTTCAGTTCAGTGTTGGTATGTTAGGAAGAAAATATCTGAAAGTAAAGAATCCACACTTTGCTGAGCATTCTTTAAAAGGTTTCCAACAAAAACAAAGCTAGTCTTTATCATTAAGTATTTCCATGAATCATCACTGGTATTCTTGGTTCTATCATAAAGATGAAACAGATACCTGCAGACAAGCTAAGGTTGGCCTCTAATTCATCTTTTATGCACCAGAGCTAAATGTTTATGGTCTGTGTCAAGTGATTTGAAGGTTAAGAATAACCACAACTACTTGCATAACGGAGTCCTGGTGTGGTGCTGTAGGATAAACACGGGACCGCAAGGTCAGTTTGAACCACGAGGTTAGCGTTTGAACTCACCCACTGCTCCTTGGAAACCCTGTATTGTTGGTTGCTATTAGTTGGAACCAACTCAATGGCACTTTAGCAACAATTTGCATAATACAGTTCCTGAAAGTTCAAGAGATACTGACTCAAAAGTGTGGGTCATCGTGATGTCTGGAATGCTATATATAAATGAACAGAGACACAACTGATAACACAAAATACAAACAAACTAGGAGGGCAGGAAACGTTGTTGGAGGAGAACTAACATTTAAAGAGTACTAGTCCTGGGTTAAAGGAGCTCTGGTAGTGGTTACGAATAGGGCTGCGAACCGCAAGGTCCGCAGTTCAAAACTACCAGCTGCTCCGCGGAAGAAAGATGAGGCGTTCTGCTCCCGTAAAGATTTACAGCCTCGGAAACCCTGTTCAGGGTCGCTATGGGTCGAAACCGACTTGACGGCACAGCACTTAACAACAACAACAACAACAGTCCTGGGTTAAGGACCTCTGGTAACGTAGTGGTTACAAATCGGGCTGTGAACCACAAGGTCAGCAGTTCGAAACTACCAGCCGCTCCATGGGAGACAGATGAGGCTTTCTGCTCCATTAAAGATTTACAGCCTCGGAAACCCTGTACAGGGTCGCTATGAGTCGGAACCGACTCAACAGCACTTAACAACAACAGTCCTGGTTTGGTGCTGCGGGTTCATAAGCTCTACTGCAAGGTCTATTTGAACCACAAGGTTGGGCAGTTCAAGCTCACCAGCTACTCCTTGGAAACCCTACACAGGATTGCTATGAGTTGGAACTGACTCTACGGCACTTAAGTACTAAGCACTTTATT